CCTGGCTGGGGGTGGGGCTTAGGTGGTGCACTGTCCCGCCCTGCCTGCATTATGCTGTTTAGCCAATGGGAGTTGTAGCAAAGGTATGGTCAATTACCATCTTTGTCTATTATTAGATAGGACTAGAGGCCCGGTGCACAAAAATTTGTGCACTCGGCGGGGAGGGGGGAGGTTCCTCAGCCCGGCCTGTGCCCTCTAGCAGTCTGGGACCCCTCGGGAGATAATGACCTGCTGGCTTAGGCCTGCTCCCGGGTGGCAGAGGGCAGGCCCAATCCCTAGGTGCAGGCCCTGGTAGGGCTCAGAGCAGGGCCGACTCAGGAGTTGGGGCGCTGCCCGCTGTCATGCACAGAGCAGGGCGGATTGGGAGGTTGCGATGCCACCCTCAGTCATGCTCAGGGTAGGGCCGATCTAGGGGTTGGGGCACCGCCCCCTATCACACTCAAGGCAGGGTCAATGGGGAGGTTGTGGCGCCACCCCTGTCACACACAGAGCAGGGCCCATCAGGGGGGTTGGGGCTCCGTACCCTGTCATGCACAGAGCAGGGCCCATCAGGGGGTTGGGGAGCTCCCCTCTGTCACACACAGAGCAGGGCCCATCAGGGGGTTGAGGAGCTCCCCCCTGTCACTCACAGAGTAGGGCCGATAGCGAGTTGGGGCACCATCCCCTGTCACACACAGAGCAGGGCGGATCATCGGGTTGGGGCGCCACCCTCTATCACCCACAGATCAGGGCCAATCAGGCGGTTGGGGCGCCACCACTCTCACACTCAGGGCAGGGCTGATGGGGAGGTTATGGCTCTACCCCGTCACACACAGAGCAGGGCCCGCGGGGGGGGGGGAGGGGGTTGGGGTGCCGCACCCTGTCACACACACAGCCGCAGGGCGATCAGGGGGTTTGGGCACTGCCCCCTGTCACGCTGATCCCGGTGCCGGGAGGCCTCACGGCTCCACTGATCCCGGTGCTGGGAGGCATATTACCCTTTTACTATATAGGGTAGAGGCCTGGTGCACGGGTGGGGGCCAGCTGGTTTGCCCTGAAGGGTGTCCTGGATCAGGGTGGGGGTCCCCACTTGGGTGCATGGCCAGCCTGGGTGAGGGGATGATGGCTGTTTGCAGCTGGTCACACACCCTTCAAGGTGGGGTCCCCACTGGGGTGCCTGGCCAGCCTGAGTGAGGGGATGATGCCTGTCTGCAGCTAGTCACACACCCTTCAGGGTGCGGGTCCCCACTGGGATGCCTGGCCAGTCTGGGTGAGGGGCTGAGGGCTGTTTTCAGGCTGGGGGTGACTGAAGCTTCCAACCGCTCCTTTTTACCTTTTTTTTTTTTTTTTTATTCTGGGCCAACTTTAGCTTGAGGCTTGGTTCCAGCTCTTAGGCCTCCGCTGCTGAAAGTAGGTTTCTGGCCTTTGCATACAATGTTGCGATCCTGCTGGCTGAAGTCCGGCGGTATTTGTTACATAGTTTCTTAAACTGCATGCTCAGAGGCCTGCAGCTGCAGGTGGGGAATGTTGGTTTCCTCCGTCACTGAGGCAAGCAAGCCTCATGTTAGTTTCAAGCTGCCTGGCTGCCGGCCGCCATCTTGGCTGTCAGTTAATTTGCATATCATGCTGATTAGCCAATGGGAAGGGTAGCGGTCGTACACCAATTATCATGTTTCTCTTTTATTAGTGTAGATTATATAGGATGTCCCTATTTGCCTCCTTTTGCCCTGCCAGACCCTGACGAGACCCTATATACACTGATGGAAGCAGCTTTGTGGTCGACGGGACCAGGTACGCAGGAGCAGCGATCGTGACAGCTGACAAGGTAATCTGGGCACAGGCACTGGGGTGCGGGACATCATCTCAGAAGGCAGAGCTAATAGCCACACCCAAGCTCTATGGTGAGGGAAGGGAAAGGCAGTGACTATATACACAGACAGCCGATATGCTTTTGCCACTGTTCACATTCACGGGGCCTTATACCAAGAAAGGGGACTCCTAATGTCAGGAGGGAAGGAAATGAAAAATGTCCCAGAAATCCTTACCCTCCTTGCAGCCCTTTGGATGCCAAAGGTGGTGGCAGTCATACATTGCAAAGGACATCAGTAAACTGACACCCGGAGGCATGGGGAAACGCCTTCACAGATAAAATGGCCAGGGAAGTCGCCCAAAATCCAGTGGGGCCCTCCATATTTTACCAGTCCTCCCTGCAAGGGTCTTTGAGGAGACTCCAGTCTACTCAGAGGAGGATACTGCGCTGAGGAAAAGCCTGCAGGCAAAAGAAACATCTGGAGGATGGAAAGAATTGCCGGACCAGAGGCTGCTTGGTCCAGAGGCCCTGGGAAAGGAACTCATTTCCCAGACACATCAGAGTACTCATCTGGGGGGAGCCAAGTTAGAAGAACTGCTTAAACAAGGTTATTATATTCCTAAGCTCTTTCAGGTTTTAAGGCTATTGCAAGGAGATGTCACATCTGTGCACAGGTAAACCTGGGGAAGCGGTCCCATTTAGTCGAGGAAACCGGACTCAGAGGGAAAAGTGCTGGAGAGCATTGGGAAGTAGACTTTACAGAATTACCCCCAGGTGTGGGAGGCTATCGCTACCTGCTGGTTTTCGTGGATACATTCTCAGGATGGCCAGAGGCTTTCCCTACCAAGTCTGAAACAGCACAAGTAGTAGTAAAGAAATTAATCTCAGAACGTGTCCCCAGGTTTGGCCTACCTGTTGCAATGGGGTCCGACAGTGGCCCAGCATTCATTGCCCACATCACTCAGTTATTGGCAAGAATACTAGGTATTAATTGGAAATTACACTGTATCTATAGACCTCAGAGCTCTGGACAGGTAGAGAGGATGAATTGAACCTTGAAGGAAACCCTGACAAAACTAAAACTGGAGACTGCTGAAAACTGGGTAAACCTCCTCCCTTTTGCCCTACTCTGGGCCCGTTGCATCCCGTATGTAAAGGGTGTCACCCCTTTTGAGATTCTGTTTGGCCGACCCCCACCGCTACTTCCCAAGCTAGGGGAAGAAATATTAGCATCCCTTTCTAATTATAACCTCCTGAAGTCCTTACAGGCTTTACAGTTGAGCTCCAGGCTTAACCACCAGCTGGTCTGAGAGGCTCACTGAGACCTACCATACGGTACCGGGCCTGGACCACCTCTCTTTCAACTGGGAGACCAGATGTGGGTTCAGAAGCACGAGCCATCATTGCTGGAAGCCAGGTGGACTGGGCCCTTCACTGTCATTCTCAGCACCCCATCGGCCGGAAAGAGACACTGGATTCACCAAACTCAAGTGAAAAAGGTGGAATCCGAGGACCCCACTGAATGATGGGCCTTCCAACGTACAGGGAACCTGGTTTGCCTGTACCTCCGGTATCACTCCCTGTATTTCCCCCTTGACTCTCATCCCCCCCATCCCCCCTGGAGAGCCTTCTCTATGCATCCTCACTCACATCTTGCCTCAGGAGTACTATTACTCTGGGGAGGGAGGGAGAGAACATTATGTCTGCTCGGAGGCAGAGAAAAACGGGCCCCGGTATTGACTCCCCTTTTAGTAGGCTTAGGGGTTGCCGGCTCCACTGCGATGGGAACAGCAGCTCTAGTAACAGGAAATCAGAATGTTAAGGCCCTCAGCAGCCAAGTAGATCAAGATCTGAGCACATTAGAACAAAATGTAGATAGACGTGAAGATTCCCTCAGTTCCTTCGCCGAAGTAGTATTACAAAATAGGAGAGGGCTCGACCTGTTGTTTCTAAAACAGGGAGGACTATGCATGGCCCCAGGGGAGACCTGTTCTTCTTATAGTAACCACTCGGGAGTTATCAGGGAGAGCCTCAGTCAGCTAAGGAACAGGCTACAAGATAGAGAGGAAAGGAGAAAGTCGGAAGGAAACTGGTATGAAGACCTCTTCTCCTGGTCCTCCTGGTCACCACTCTCCTAACCGCCTTAGCTGGGCCATTAGTACTCCTGAGGCCAGGAGTGGGGTGCCGCACCCTGTCACACACAGAGCCGCAGGGTGTGTGTGTCTTGTCTTGTCTTGTCTTGTCTTAATGTAACAAGACAATAAGTTAGTATAACACTAACAAATTGTCTTGTCTTAATGTAACAAGACAATAAGTTAGTATAACACTAACTTTCGGCCCGTGCATACTGAACTGCTTAATGAATTATATTCAACGCAGAATACAAGCAGTCAAATGAATGGTCCTAAGAACTCACTACCAAATAATAAGAAGAAACAATGATTTGATTCTCCCGTAAAACCAGTGGGGAATGTTACAGAGTAGGAAAATTTTGAGGCCTGCTTAATTATCTAGCCACCTCAGCAGCTTGACAGCCTGTGCAAAGTTTCTAGGAACTGAGCTCCCACACCTGAGCTATGGCCCACAAAGAACACACAGATCAACACTCCTGGGCAGCAGGCCCACAAACAACAAACAGATCAACACTCCTAGGCAACAGGCCCATAAAGAACAGACAGATCAAAATTAAGAATAGTCTTTACCTTTAAGTTACCCAGAAATGAATAACAGGAGGAGGATGAGTAGCTTGGCTAAAACTACACAATTAGCTTTTGTCACTTGGCTTTGCTTGCTATGGGAACCTGAGCACGGATGTCGTTGTCCCCTTTAAACATTGGACTCTGCAGATGGTCGGGGCCGCTTCTGTCTTGGGCTTCCCGAGTGGAGGAGCGGACACTGGCCAGTCAGTAAAGGCTCTAAATTGTAATCAGTCTGGAGTCTGGTCATTCTGTAGCTCGCACTCCATAACATTATCAGGACTCCTTGAGCCCCAAGGACAGCTCTTTGCAGCTCAAGCAGCTAATGGTGAGCAGGACGTCTGGCAGGTGAAGAAGGGGAGCCTAGACTGGGCTGGAAGCAGACCCCAGCCTGGGTGGGAGTGCTGTCCTGTCCTGTCGGGGAGGGGAAAGGGCCCTCCACTGCTTCAAAGTGCTGCGCCCCAGGGCTCAGCCCAGGGCGGCAGGGCAGCGGGGCGGCGGGGCGGGGCGGGGCGGGGCGTTCGCGGGGCCGGAGGTCTGAGCCAGAGCTGGGAGCCCTGCGACATGGAGTGCTGGCCGGTTCTGCTGCTCTGGGGTCTCCCCCAGATGTGGGCAAGTCCTGACGGTGAGTGGAGCAAGGATGCCTGGGCACGGATCTGGGAGACAGCGAGAGGGAGCTGGGCTGGGAACGGGGGCGACGCATGAAGGGGACGGACGGAGGCGCCTGCATCTAGGAAACTAAGCCTCGAGCTCACTGGCGACCCGGGCCGAGAACTTGGGGCTCCGGGCCTCGGCTCCCGGCTCCAGGCTCCAGGGGTGCGGGGTGCCGGGGAGCTGGAGGACACCACCCCTCCTGCCCAAGGCCATCAGTTTTGTTTGTTTTCTTCCTTCTCCTTAAGCTCTGCCACCTCCCGGCTCCTCAGATCACCACTTTTTGCCCCCGCCTCCAAGCAGCGCCCCCCTCCGCTTCCTCCAGATCTCCTCCTTTGCCAACAGCAGCTGGACGCGCACTGATGGCTCTTTCTGGCTGGGGGCGCTGCAGACCCACTCTTGGAGCAATGGCTCAGACATCAGCTTCCTGAGGCCCTGGTCCCAGGGCAAGTTAAGCAACCATCCGTGGGAGCAGCTGCAGCAAGTGTTCTGGGTGTACCGGAGCAGCTTCACCAGGGAAATCCCGGGATTCGCCAAAATGCTGCACTTGGACTGTGAGCTGAGGGATGGGCCCCGGGCAGCTGACCCCCGGGGAGACAGCGGAGGCAGAGGCCCAGCTCGGACACTCTGGCCTCACTGGCTGGGATGTTCTCATTCCTACTCCTGCCAGGAATGTCCCAGCCCCTGACACCCCAAAATATCCCTGGTTCCTCCTGCCCTGGGTAACCCACCCTCATTTCCCGGAGCTTTGGGTGGTATAGCCCTCACATCCATGTCTTCTTCGTTTGTTCCCACCGTTAAACCGTTTGATCTCCATCCATTCCTCTCCTCAGATCCCTTTGTGGTCCAGGTGTCCGCTGGGTGTGAGGTGCACCCTCGAAGGCCCCTAAAAACCTTCTTCCACTCAGCATTTCAAGGAAGCGATATATTGAGTTTCCAGGGAACTTCTTGGGTGCCAGCCCCCGATGCCCCACATGGAGCTGAGGTGGTCAGCAACGAGCTCAACAAGGACCTATTAGTCAAGAGCACATTAGAGTGGTTCCTCAATGTCATTTGCCCCCTATTAGTCACGGGCCTCCTTGAAGCAGGAAAGCAGGATCTGGAGAAGCAAGGTCAGCCTGCATGTCTCCCTTCCCCCCACTTCCCTCCTCTGTGGGGCTCCATCTGGGTTTTCCATTCGAGGGTTTCCATTCCTTTGAGCCTTGGAAGAGAAAGGCTCAGGAGGGGATGGCTAAGGCCTGAGGGCATTTATTCATTCCATATTCACTGAGCAACCTTTGGGTTTGTGAGTTCAGTTAAATAAGCTCTGGGGTCAAACAGGATCTTTGCTTGAGGGGGAGGATGGGAAGACAAGCAGTAAAGCAGTGTGTGAAACTTGGATATGTTACAGCTGAGCACAGGGCGCTCTAGGAGAGTAGACAGGGGCGTTTACAGGAGACTGGGTCAGGGAGACCCCAGCACAAATGGATGACGTGACAGGAGCCTTCGTTTCCTGCGGGGGGACTGTGGGCTGCCTGAGTCAGCCACGCGGCCAAAGCCTCTAATGCAGAGGCCCCACTCCCTTGTTGGATACAGTGAAGCCCGAGGCCTGGCTGTCCAATGGCCCCCCTCCTGGCCCTGGCCGTCTGCTGCTGGTGTGCCACGTCTCAGGATTCTACCCAGAGCCTGTGTGGGTGAGGTGGATGCGGGGGCAGCAGGAGCAGCCGGGCGCTCAGCAAGGGGACGTCCTGCCCAATGCTGACGAGACCTGGTATGTCCGAGTGACCCTGGACGTGGCGGCTGGGGAGGCAGCCGGCCTGACCTGCCGAGTGAGACACAGCAGCCTCGGTGGCCAGGACATCGTCCTCTACTGGGGTGAGAACTAGGGCCCCGCGGGGAGGGGATGTGGTTCTGAAGCACAGAGGGAGGGACAGGGAAGGGCGGGAGTGGACTGATGCAGGACAGAGGGGTTTCGGCCATGAGGCCCTGACCAGGACGGACAGAAGGAGGGGATCCGGGTACAGGACAGAGGGGAATGAAGATCTCAACTCAAAAGCACTGAGGCAGGACGTTCCATATGAAGAAAAGTGAGACTAAAAGGCTCCCAGTTTCAGAAGTTGGTGGCACATGAAGAATCCCAGGGAGACTTATTCCTCAGGAGAGGGGATGGGAGCAGGAGAAGGCAGGGTACACAGGTAGCTGTGGTTCTCCGGCTGCTTCCCGTGAACGGGCTGAGCACCCTGCCCACAGCATGCCATCCAGTCACCTCTCTCTGAAGCAAGTATTATTCTCACTTTATAGATGAGAACCCGAGGCTCAGCTAGGTCATGTTACTGCCCACAGCCGCATTGTTAAACAGAGGAAAGCTGGGCTTAGACTAAGGACTGCCTCGCTGAGGAATTACTGCCCTTCCCCTGTGTGCTGTGCTATATAAGCTGAAATGGACTGGATTACGGATGCCCAGGCTCTGAGAAAGCTGGGCCCTACAAACTTCAGGGGAATAGAAGAGGCCACTTTTATTGTTTTTATTAAAATACATATATATATTGATTTCAGAGAGGAAGGGAGAGAAAGAAACATCAATAATTGGAGAGAATCATTGACTGGCTGCCTCCTGACACCCCGCACTGGGGATCAAACCCGGGCATGTGCTCTGACCGGGAATCGAACCGTGACCTGGTTCATAGGTCGATGCTCAACCACTGAGCTACACTGGCTGGGCCAGAAGTGGCAACTTTAAATGGGAGAGGAAATAAGCACCTGGCACCCTCACATGTGCTGAGACCAGGTGGCTTGAGCTAGGGAGGAATCCCGGGGCTGAGAAACTCCTGTGTTCCTGAAGCAGAGGGGAGTCATGTGCCGGTGGGCTGGATCGTCGCAGCAGTACTGGCATCCCTCCTTCTGGTAGGCGGAGGCGTAACCTTCTGGCTTAAGAAGCGCAGGTGAGTCTTCTTTTTCCATCTCCTTTGCTCAGCCTTTGTCCCCATTCTCTCTTCCTTCCATCCCCTCTTCCACTTTTCGGAATGGTCTCTCCCTGGCTGTTCTCTCACAGGTCATATCAACACATGCTGTGACTGTCCTCACCACACCTGTCTGCAACTCAGGATCTCAAGTTCCCAGGACTTCGGTACCCAGGAATTGAGGATGAAAGAGAGGTGCCTTGAAGAAGCAGAGAACAATCACAAGACAGCTCGCATCACACCCCTTGGCTACTTTAAGAGAATTTAAGCATCCTGCCTGTTTAGAAGCTCACGTGGTTCTTAAGAACAGAAATGCAAACTCAGATACCTACCAGGGACAAGCAGAGAAGGGCCAAAGCGCGGGCACCTGTGGCCATTGTTTAAACGCTGGAGTCTGCAGAGACCTGGAAAGCCCTTGTCCTGTCCAGGGGAAGCAGGTCCAGCTGCTTGTTGTCAAATAGGAAGTCAGACCCTGGGTTGGCTGTGACCTACATTTTTCAAGAAGAGCGGAAGTCTGGATTTTCATGTGAACATACCTGATATTAAAATATTGACTCAAACTTTTATACTATTTAGGGTGTGGAACCCCAAATACACCTCTGCTAGTTAACAACAACTTGGGGGGCTTTCAGTTTGTATCTTTTGAGAAAGCTTGTGGTGAATGTCAATATTGGCAGTTTGAGGACATATTTCTATTGTGAATTTGGATTTATACAGGGATATTTCATCTTTAAAAAGAAAGGTCAAAGAAACAGGCATCTCAAGCTTTCATGTAACTTGATTAAAAGAGGAGAAATCGTAGAGTATGTGTATGATATGGAAAAAAACTACTTTGGGGATGCCGGAATCCGGTCCATCCTTGCTGCTTGACACAGCCGCTGCAGGATAGAAACATCTGCACAGCATATGTTTCAAGGGACCTGGTGTATATAGCATACTGTTCTTAATATGTTTGTTCCCCTTAGCACTGTGTGTTTTAACCAAGGTCACCTCTCCGAGAAAGGTTGTTTCCCCAGGTAGGGATTTTTCCCTGAAGTTAGGGAGGGGATGAAACTCCTTAACTAAGTGCCAGGCGGGTAGTTAATCACTTTAAGTACAAAAAATCATGCTTAAGCTACATAATCTTTACTCCCTGGAATGGAGATAAGAAACGCCCTAACCTTTGTAATAGAAATTGACAGGATTAAAATCAACTGGTATAAATACGGATGTAACAAAACAATAAACGGCAGAACCTCTCTGGAGATCCAGACCAGAACTTGGCTGGAGATCCTGGCTGGAGATCCTGGCTAGGCTGCTGATCAACTGAACACTGTCTCCGTGTCCTTCCTTCTTCGCTGACTCCGTCCACACCTTTGGGGATCCCTGGACCCGCTGGGGTTGGACCCCAGCATGGGGAGGGATATTTCTCACCACTGGGCAGTCATTTTATTCGGACTGGAAGAGGCAGTCATGAAGAGACCGCCCCAAACAGGCTCTCTTACTTCTAGCTATTGAGACAATGCACGAAAGAGGCTGAGCATACCTGGCCAAGCCTGGTTTGTAGTGATGCCGGTCTAGCTGACTTCTTGGTTCTTAGACAGGAGGTAACAGGAAGCTAAGAGGAACAGCAGACCTTTCTGGAGCCCAGAAATGAAAAGGTCAAGTTAAAATGATCAGTTGGCTCTCAGGAAAGTCTCCTCTAGGCACTCCAGGGCTCTGAACATCCAGAAACAGAGAGGCTGCCCTTTGGAAGAGCCTTTGCTTGAGGAAATGAAGATTTTGCTTCTTCTCTGCTGGACTCGCAGGTCAAACCTAGAATGCAGGTGAAGAACCTGCCAGCCTCTGAACCAATGGTTCCCAAATTGTGGTTTCGTGTCCAGTGGCCTCGGCATCACCTGGGAACTTGTGAGTTATTTTGGGCCGCACCCCAGAACTACTGAATGGGAATCCTTGGGAGTGGGATCCAGTTGTCTGTGTGTTAAGCCCTCAGGTAATGCTGATATTCAGCTAAAGTTAGAGAACCACTGTTCTTAGACATGTGTCATGCTGTGCAACAAATTTCTCAGAATGCTTAGTGAGAATATTGGCTTGGGTTAGTCAAGGAAGGCTTCGTGAACGAAGGGGAACTTGAAGCAGGACTTAGCGAGGCGGGTAGGTGAACCAGCAAGTGCACTGGATCAGGAGACTGGCGTTCTAGCCTCTGACTCAGTTTCCTCCTGTGCCCATGGGGCTAATAATGTCTGTCTTGATTGCGCTACTGATTATATGTGTGTGTGCGCCCCGGTTAGTATGCTAGAAATCCAATAGCCAGGGTGATGGGTACTAGAAGGCGGGGCCTCTGGGAGGTGATTAAGTCATGAGGTCTGAGCTCTCACATGGAATCAGTGCTGTTAGAAAAGAGGCCCCTTCACTGTGTGAAGACAGCGGAAGATGCCATCTAGGATGCAGGCAGTGGGCCCTCATCAAACCCTGACTCTTCTGGCCCCTTGATACTGGACCTCCCAGCCTCCATCTGTGAAACATTAATTTCTATTGCTTATAAGCCACCCAGTCTGTGTTATTTTGTGATAGCAGACCAGATGGACAAAGACAGATTTTGTCATAGACTTGTTGTCTCCTAGACAAATGTGTGAAATGTGTGGCAAGCTGCAATGGCTTCAGAAACGTGTGACCTGCTATTGTTTTTGGTGCCACACTGCCCTTTGGAGATGCTCTTCAGCTTAGCTTCCTCAAGCAGCGTCAAGTTTGTGAATGTATCTCACCCGGCTTTTACTTTCCCAGGCTCTTCTGAAATCTTTTTGGAAATGCTTCAGCCTGAATTTACAGCTGCTCTGGTTCTTTATTATTATTATTATTTTCTATTGTTTTATTTCTTAAAGTATTACAAAGGGTATTACATATGTCTCCTTTTTCCCCCGCCCATGACAGTACCCTGGCCTCCCCTACCCCTCAGTGTCTTATGTCCATTGGTTGTGCTTATATGCATCCGTACAAGTCCTCCGGTTGATCTCTTACCCCTCCCTCCTGCCCCCCAACCCTCCCCGGCCTTCCCGCTGTAGTTTGACAGTTTGTTTGAGGCAGCTCTGCCTCTGTATCTATTCTTGTTCATAAGTCTATAATTGTCTTTATTATTCATAAATGAGTGAGATCATGTGGTATTTTTCCTTCATTGACTGGCTTATTTCACTTAGCATAATGCTCTCCAGTTCCATTCATGCTGTTGGGAATGGTAAGAGTTCCTCCTTTTTTACAGCAGCATAGTATTCCATCGTGTAGATGTACCACAGTTTTCTAAGCCATTCATATACTGATGGGCATTTAGGCTGTTTGCAGATCTTAGCTATGGTGAATTGTGCTGCTATGAACATAGTTGTGCATATATCCTCTCTGATTGGTGTCTCTGGTTTCTTGGGATATATCCCTAGAAGTGGGATCACAGGGTCAAATGGGAGTTCCATTTTTAGTTTAGTTTTTTTTTTTATGCCACATTTTATAGTACTTTTTATTTATTTATTTTTTATTGCTTAAAGTATTACAAAGGGTATTACATATGTGTCCATTCCCCCCCCTCCCCCTGCATTTGTAGTTTTTTAAGGAAACTCCATACTGTCTTCCATAGTGGCTGCACCAGTCTTCCTCCCACCAGCAGTGCACGAGTGTTCTTTTTTCTCCACATTCTCTCCAGCACTAGTCGTTTGTTGATTTGTTGATGATAGCCATTCTGACAGGTGTGAGATGGTACCTCATTGTTGTTTTGATTTGCATTTCTCGGATGATTAGTGACTTTGAGCATATTTTCATATGTCTCTTGGCTTTCTGAATGTCCTCTTTGGAAAAGTGTCTATTTATGTCCTTTGCCCTTTTTTTGATTGGATTTTTTGTCTTCGTTTTGTTAAGTTGTATGAGTTCCCTATAAATGTTGGAGATTAAACCCTTATCGATGATAACATTGGCAAATATGTTCTCCCCTGCAGTGGGCTTTCTTGTTGTTTTTGTT